TCTACAAGAAAATACCTCCTATTTCTTATCAATTTTTCATTGTCCAAAGCAGGATATTTTAACCATTACCTAATCATTTTAACAATTATGATGAACTTTACATTGTGTGACATTTTTATTCTCTTTTAAATTAAATGTGTAATGTTTACAATGAACTACATTGTAACATGCTTAGCCCAAGGGTATACTGTTGTGATTTGATAGGGAAAAGGCAGTGGCCAGTTAGCCAGAGCCACACATTTGCATTTGTGATTTCTACAGCAGAGCGCTGCAATGCTGATTGGATGAATTAGTTATGTTAAATTCTATGAGCACTACAAATACTCTTACAGTAACATAACAGATTGTTGCGATATTCAGATGTACACACATGGCCAAGCAAATACAGGTCTGAAACCTAAAGATGTTTTTTTCGCTACTCATTCATGACATTTACTGACAGAAGATAAGACAGATAAACAGTTGATTTCACAGAAAAAATAAATTCTACCTTCAGCAAAATCACCTAAAACATTTCTGAACATGATCTGTTCCTTTGAAAGAACTTTAGAAGTTAAAACTTTGACCAAACTATAATTGTTTTTTGTTCTTCAAAATTCTAACTGCATTTATATGATTTAAGCTCTGGGAGGAAAGTTTTACACATCACCACTGGAAATCTTCAGACTCTAAAAAAAAATAAATAAATAAGAGCTTAACATTCTGGTAAAAATATTCATCTTGTTGATATTCAGTTTCACTATGGTCGCCCATAAATCTAGTAGAACTACAGGCAAAACTTTTTTTTTTTCATTTTGGATAGAGTAGGGAAGGGTATAATCCTGGCAGGCTTTTTTGCCACCTGTGTGTGTATTCACTTTATTACTTTTGTGTGGACAACCCAAAATTTGGGATTTTCCTTTACTTTCACTCTCAGTGATAATGGTAAACAGGACAAATAGAGAGGGTGAATCTTCCTAAGGAGGCTTAGACTGCAATAAAAGCTAAAAGGTGTAATAATCCCTCTCTACTCTGTCCAAAACTAAAACAAACATTTTGCCTTTAGTTATACTTTATTCTGTCAGAGCTGTGGTTCTAATCCCTGTGTAAACTCTGTATCAGATTGTGTCAGGGTTTACATAGGGTAGACAGTTACATGCTCCTCCATATCTGGATGTATCGCATATTACCAAGGGATCTAACACGAGGACTGTGGAGGAGCAAAATATACAGTATATATTTAAAGCTGAACTCCAGACAAAGAAAAAAACAATTAACACACATTTTTGCCACCCTCTCCACCCCACTATGGCAAATAAATATATTTTTTTTCCTGAAACCACTGTCAACTAAGTGGCCACATCCTAATGGGACTGTACTGTAGGTAGTATGCTTTTCCCTTTAACTAGTAAAAGACATACAACTTTTATTTTGGGTAATAACTTGGCCTCAGACCTTTTATTATTGATATATATATATATATTTAGATATATTATAACTCTTTATTTGTACATATTACAGTAATATGAATAGTTGCATTGTTACATATTTAGTCTGGCTGAGAAAAGACAAAAGTCCATCCAGTTCAACCATTTAAAAAAAAAAAAAATTATAATCCTATACCCCTAGTTGATCCAGAGGAAGACAAAAAAAAGAGCAAAGCATGATGCAATTTTCTCCTGCAGTTGAAAAAAATTCCTTCCTGATCCCTCGAGAGGCAATCGGATATTCCCTGATCAACGTTACCTATAAATGTTTCTATCCAGTTATATTTGTGTATCTAGGAAAAAATCCAGGCCTTTTTTAAAGCAGTCCACTGAGCTAGCCAGAACCAAATCTCATGGGCGTCTATTCCACATTTTCACATCTCTCACTGTGAAGAAACCTATCTGTATTTGGAGATTATATCTCTTTTCCTCCAGACATAAAGAGTGCCCCCTTGTCCTCTGTGATGACTTAAGGGTGAATAACTCTACACCAAGTTCACTATATGAACCATTGATGTATTTATACATGTTGATCATATCCCCCTTAATCTTCTCTTCTCAAGAGAGAATAAATTCAGTTCCTCTAATCTTTCCTCATAACTGAGCTCCTCCATGCCTCGTATCAGTTTGGTTACCTTTCTCTGCACTTCATTCAGTTCCCCAATGTTCTTTTTGTGAATTGGTGCCCAGAACTGAACTGCATATTCCAATTGGGTCTTACTAATAATTTGTACAGGGGTAATATGATATCTCTCTCTCTGGAGTCTATACCTTTTTTAATACAAGAGAGGATTTTGCTCGCTTTAAAAACTGCAGCTTGGCGTTGCATGCCATTATTAAGCTTGTGATCTACCAGAACTCCCAGATCCTTCTCCACCATTGATTCCCCCAATTGTACCCCCCCTAATATGTATGATGCATGCATATTCTTAGCCCCCAAGTGCAAAACCTTACATTTATCAACATCAAACCTCATTTGCCACATAGTTGCCCAATTAAACACTGCATTGAGGTCAGCTTGTACGTTGGAGACATCCTGTACGGATGTTATTCCAATGCATAGCTTGGTGTCATCTGCAAAGACTGAAACTGTATTTTTAATCCCAGACCCTGTATCGTTTATAAATATATTAAAAAGTAAGGGTTCCGACATTGAACCTTGGGGTACACCACTAACAACCCTAGACCATTCAGAGTATGATTAGTAGGTTTATTAATTTTTTGCCCTTTAACTGTTCCTGCAGTGCCATTACGCCAATCAATTTCTGGGTAATTAAAATCCCCCATTATTATCACTGTCCCAGCCCTTGCAGCCCTTTTTGATCTGTGCAAGGAGCTGAGTCTCCACCTCCTCATTAACACTGGGAGGCCTATAACAAACTCCAATGATTACCTTTGTAGTAAGCACCCATAATGCTTCGGCCTCATCACACTCTCCATCAACTAGGTCCTCTTTCACACTCGCTCTGAGATCACTTCTCACATAGAGACAGACATCACCACCTTATTTTTATCCTGTCTCTCTGAAAAATAACATATCCAGGAATATTAATGGCCCAGTCATGCAAAGAATGAAGCCAAGATTCAGCAATACCAATTAAATCACAGTTCTCTTCATGCACCAAAGCTTCCAACTCACTTATTTTGCTTGGCAGACTTCTTGCATTGGTGAACAAACACTTTAATTTATTGACACCTTGTGCACACGTATTTTGCATATTTTTTGTTTTCGTACAAATGATACCAATTCCAACAGTTGATTGTAAAATGGGAACCTTCTTATCACTTGCCATAGCCCTCCCCCCCATCTTTCCCCATTTCAACCAACAATAAGGACTGACCCCTGTCTGATCCGTCAGCCCCATTATAATCTAATCTCCCTCCTCGATCCTGGTTTAAATACTCCTCCAGCCGCCCCAAACCTCTAAACCAGCACAGCAGACCCCCCAAACAATCTCTAGCATATAGGTTGCACCCCAATGAAAAGTCAGCCCAGTGCTCAAGAAACCCACATCCTTCCCTCTTACACCAGGTCTTTAGCCATGCATTTAGTTCTGTAATCTATCACTGTCTTTCCTGAGTTGCGCATGGCATAGGTAATATTTCAGAGAATATCACCTTGGAAGTCCTTCCCTTCAACCTTCAGCCTAGTTCTTTAAATTGATACTTAAGGAGCCTCCACCTTCCATGTATTCTGCCATTGGTTCCAACATGGATCAAGACAGCTGGGTCATGTCCAGCCCCTCCCAGTAATTTATCAACCCAGTGCACCACATGCCGAACCCTGGCACCAGGGAAACAGCAAACCATTCAGCTGAGGTGACCCTGGCGATAAATTATTCTATCAGTCTTTCTGATTATAGAATGCCCTATTACCACCAACTGTCTAGCCCTCCCGGCTGTTAAGGATAGCAGTGACAACCACAGTTGCCACCCCTGAGCTTGCCACTCCCACATCTTCACCCAACTCATCAAATCTGTTTGGGTGCTCAAACCCAGGGCTGGCCTTCCTTTTCTGTGAGCCTCTACCCCTCCCTCTCACTACAGTAACCCATCTTCCTACCTGATAATCCTGACTTGTCCCTCCACCCTCCATATCAATCCCATTAGCTATCTGCTCAGAGAGCAGAAGACCTCTTTCAAGGCTGTCGGTTCTGCTCAGTGTTGCAACTTGCTCCTTCGGATCTCTAACTTGAGCTTCCAGAAGGGCAACCCACTCACATCTGTTGCAGCTGTTGCTCCATTGTTGCATACATGCGGCATGTTGTGCACTGCACAAGACCTTCAACCCTGCTAGCACTCATTATCCCAGTTACGATATTAATATTACTAATAGGATATATCAGTGGTCACTTACAAGTTAGTAGACTCCTGTTATAATCTCCTGTTTTCAGTTCTGTATTTTTACCTCCACTTAATCAAATGTCCAGCAAGCAAAATACAGGCAAGCTCAAGAATGAGCAAGCTCAGAGTGTGCTCCACAGAAAGTTCTATTGTACCTGTAGCACCTGTGACCAATTAACCCCTCACCTTAATCAGCTGAAGTAAGGAAAAGAAAAGAAAAAAAATGCTATTTAAAAAGTGACAGAAAAAGTGATTTAAAAATGTAAAACCTGCTAGCAAGACCCCAAAGAAGAAAATAAAACAACTACAAGCACCAGCAATCACTAGCAGTCAAAAGCAAAACTGTTTTTCACTCTTCTCTCAAATTTCCCACTCTTTTTAGTTTCCTGCAAGCAAAAAGTGCCAGAATATTTTAAACGTTTCACTACACAACCACAGCTTAGTCACTACCACTCAAGCTGTACATATTAAAAAGAACAACTTATTAACCATACCTATATATTGATCCAATGTTATTTTATGTTAATAGATGCACTGACTCTTCCTCCCTTAACCTCCCTGGCGGTATTCCCAAGTGTAGCTTGGGGTAAAGTTTCATTGCCACAAGCGGTAACCCCGAGCTACACTCGGGAATACCATGCGGCACTGCTCCACGATCCCTTGATCACTTACCTTGTCCTGCGCCCCGCGATGTCCCTCCTGCAGTGTCCCCTGCAATGTAGTCCGATGGATGCCAGCATCTGTCTTCTGGGTTCCGTCCCCTGCGAGAGTCAGGACGTACAGGGGACGGAACAGAGGGAAATTTGAAAATGACAAAAAGTGACATTCACTAAAATCACATAGTAAAACATTACTATATCAAATCATTTCACATACATTTTGTCCCTAGTGCTTTGTCCTGTGCCCTGCCTGCATTTTTACTGTTCTTTCTGCCTGGAAACTGAGAAACGTCCATGGCGTCCAAAAACGTCCCTTTAGGTCAAAAGCGGTTTTAGACCAGCTAGAGAACAGCGATAGTAAATTAGAACTACTTGCAGAATTGAGTGATAGTGATTTGTGGGGAAATTCGTCATCAGACACTGAAAACAATTTTGCGACTTTGCTCAGTGATGTGCGAACTTGGCGCTCTATTTCAAATTTCAGTGTTTTTGGTTTGATTATATTATTGAATTAAATTTATTATTATTATATTATTATTTTTTATGATTATTTATTAAATTATAATTTATGATTTCGTGTTTCAAGTTTTATCCTACCCGGGATGTTTACTAGACTCTTGTTCGGACAGATTTCAGTGAGTTATTCCTAAGAATTACAGGCCTACAAATTTCCATGCAAAATAATGGTACCGCTTTCAGCACCAAAATCTGAAATAATCATACTGCCAGGGAGGTTAAATAAAGGTGACCTCATCAATTATAATTGGCCACGACAACAGAAGGGCGGGTGGGAGGGGAGCACAACAGAGATGCCTCCCAGGTGTCTGCTCCCCTATGATCTTAACCCCTCTTTTTATAGCCCTCTCATCTTTCCTAGTCCTTTGATTGGTTAGTTTGCCTTCCAGGTGTTCCCCATGCGCCCCAGTTGCAGTGGGGGGCTTAAAACTTCCAATTTTCTAGAAACTTCCCCATTTTATTAATAGCTAGAGGTGGGCTTGAAACTTTAATGGTTTTCTTAAACCTCATATCACAAAGGGGGAGACTAAAAACCTGCTGACCTTCTAGAAGATTCTCCACTGTATATATACAGTGGGGAGACTTGAAACTTGCACCTGTCACAGTCCCATAAGAAAAGGGAGGCCTTATATTGAAATTCCACTTTTCTTTTCCTATTCTTCTTGCTACTGGTCAGTACCATGGAATGGTAGCCCTTGCACTGCCCACATCACTTCCTGGTGAGGTGCAGAGTCCTGTAGTTTTACAGTGTTAATGTGATGAGACCACAAAGGGAGGTCACATATAGTAGGGTTCAGGTATGTAAATGAGAGCCTTAGAAAAGCCTCAGAAGGGGTATTTTTTTAATAAAAACTGCAGAATGACTAGAATGGGTAACACTGTTTTATTTCCCTGTGTATAACTCCTGATTTAAATCAGTTTGTGACCATTACTGCAAGTCACTCCAGCTTATTTGTTGGCTTGGTATTAATATACTTCTAATGGTTTTAGTTTGATTTATTTCTTGACCAAGATTATATCACTAGAATCAGAAATTCCCTGGATAACCTTTGGCCTGCCACCAAATGTCCATAACTTTTAAATGTATACTTTGTATCTGTATCAAGATGTCTACATTATTATGTGTAATCCTGGGTGTCATAATTTTGCAACCAAATCCACATGTTGACACAAGTTAACCCTCGCCAGCCGATCCTCCAATTACACAGACCTGGCTCAAGGCAGGTTTTCTGCTCCTCAGCCAAATCTGGTCCTGGTGGTATCATTGTCTTTTCATATGTCTTTTTTCCAGTTTCAGTCCCAGAGTTTCATTCAGAAGAAGAAGTGTTATAAATGTTTCCTATTGCCAGTCATCATTAAATTATATGGTCCTAATATAACGTAAAAAATCAGCAATTGGAATGCGCTAAATATATCAAAATTAATATCACAAATATGTGTATAAAATCAGTCCCAACATTATAAATACAAAAAACTTTTCAGTGAAAATAATCCATAAATTTTCGTGCATATAAGTGTATAGAAGAAATGTCCAACACCCCAAAACAGAAAATTTTCTTCTTTAAACATATAATTCCACCGTGCTTTATCACACCACCAAAATAGATGAATGGAATAAACTCACCAGAGCTCAATGTGATTAGATTATAAATTCAGCACAAGCGCGTTTGCTCTGGGAGCGATGAATAAGTAGATCATGAAGCCGCACTCTATAGTATACGGGACACTTCCAGATAGCAGGAACAATACTCTGCAGTGATATTGAGGTTTAGCCAAGACTCCTTATAAAACGATCATCCTCAAATGTATAGTAACATCACTCAAAAATAAGAAAAGGCATGATGGTGCAGCAAGTAAGAACCATTTTAAAACTTTTATTTCAATCGCATCTACTCACAAAATAAAGTGTCCACCTGACACTGGTATAGCAAACGATCAGATATACGGGATGGACGAGCCCCGTTCACCGTGGACACCTCGCCGACAGCTCCAGGGAACGTCCTGACGTCATCCAATAAGCTCCGCCCTACGCGTTTCGTCACTCTGACGTCCTCACGGAGCGGCATGGATCAAGACGTCAATGCAACCTTATATACCGCTTGCACTCTGCATGATAGTGCTTTCAACCAATAGCGGTAATAACAACAACTAACACCGCTTGCACTTACGCATAGCGGCGCTTCCTGACCAATAACAGTGGCGGTGTGTTACTAGCCCACCACCACTCGCTTGGCGAGGTTACATGATATAAACAGTATCAATTAGGACATATATCTTTTCCTTTATAATTATATACAAACACTTCATAATGAGTAAATTATAATTCAAATAAAACAATTATTAAAAAAGCATATTAAAAGCATTGCAAAATAAAAATTTAAACTCAAAATTAAACTATAAGATAAAATAAAAAAAATATATATAAATGAATTAAAAAAAATCCCAAATGTCAAGTTCTACAAAGGAAACTCTATATTACCCGACATTTATATTTCTTTGTCAACCAGTGTATTTTTTCATAATTCTCAATTCCATAGTCACCATATTATATAAAGGGAGATCCAACACATCTCATACTTAAAGGAGAGTGTATATGCATGCATCCACCTCAAATTTCAATATTAATATATAGTATCACAAATTTACAAGTAATACATTTATATATATATCTATAATTAATACCAAGACTGAAGTCCCCTTAAAGAGAACCTCCCTATAAATCACTTCAAAGGGAGAACCTTTTCCTCATCTTTATTTGTATTAGTGATTTTGCTTGCATATGTCATCCCTTATTCTCTCAACTATCCTATATATTTTGGTATACTTTAAACTGATATATATACACCTCTCTCAACTTTATATCAAAAATTTAGTAAGGAAGCAGTTTAGATCTATATCTATGTTTAACCCATTAGGTTTTAATACATCTAATTCATGTTTGATCCAAAATGTTTCCCTTTTGGATATTGCATTAATCAAGTCTAGTCCCCTCCAATGTTTGTTAAACCTTCTCTATTCCATAAAAGGTAACTAGACTAGGGTCACTATCATGTTTCATCTTAAAGTGCCTGGATACACTATGCTTATCATATCCCTTTCTTATATTATTAAGATGTTCTCCAATCCTAGTTTTTAATAGTCTTCCTGTTCTCCCTACGTACTGTAATTCCGGACATGGGGCACTCTTAGAAACATAGATCACATGGGATGAATTACATGAAATTAATGAAATTGTCTTATATTCCTTCATTTGTATGTATTGAAGCAAAACTCTTCTTTTTTTCTTTGAACCTTTATGTACTGTTTTACATGCCTTACATTTGTTACAATTATAGAAGCCTTGTAATTCAGGAAAAAAATTTTTGTCTTTAGGTGGATCTAAAAACATTGTGGACCCAATTGGGCTCATCTGCAGTGATTTTTATTTTTTCTATATTTGAACTTTGGTTTATGTGGAATAATTTTCTTCAACGTCTCATCTTTAAGCAGTATAGGCAGTATTTTCTAAAAATCTTCTCAATATCCCTATATTGGTCATTGAAATCAGAGATAAAGGCAATATCTCCTTTATTTTCCTTTAATATTTCTGCCCATCAAAAGTATATCTCTATCCCAGTGTGGCAAACATTGTTTTGGATAAATGGGAGGTTGAGTGTGATTTTTGATAAATGGCCAGAAATAGTTTTATATAGGCGTTTCATTGATGATATCATAATGATCTGGAGAGGTTCGGAAGAAAAATTTAAAGGGATTTGTTAGACATATTAACAATAATAAATATGGATTAAAGTTCACTGCATGTGAGTGATTTTACAGAGGTGAATTTTTTGGATCTCACTACTATATAAACATGAAGGTGAAATATATACCAAAATTTTTTTCAAAAAGAAGTAGATAAAAATAGTTATATTCCCACCTCTAGTGTGGACATCACCCGAGATGGTTGTATAGTACGCCAAGGAGCCAATTTACCAGGATTAAAAGGGAATTGTAGCCAACAAGTAGATTTTGTAGATCAAACCAGACTTATTATAGATAGGTTTGTTGATAAAGGCTTATGATAAATCCTTTTTGGAGACTGAAAGAAAAATAATTGACGACACAGAGATAGAGATATACTTTTGATGGGCAGAAATATTAAGGAAAATAAAGGAGATATTGCCTTTATCTCTGATTTCATGACCAATATAGGGATATTGAGAAGATTTTTTAGAAAATACTGGCCTATTACTGCTTAAAGATGAGACGTTGAAGAAAATTATTCCACATAAACCAAAGTTCATATATAAAAAAAATAAATCACTGCAGATGAAATTGGTCCACAATGTTTAGATCCACCTAAAGAAAAAATTTTTTTCCTGAATTACAAGGCTTCTATAATTGTAACAAATGTAAGGCATGTAAAACAGTACATAAAGGTTCAAAGAAAAAAAAAGAACTCGAGTTTTGCTTCAATAATACAAATAAGGAATATAAGATCAATTCATTAATTTCATGTAATTCATCCCATGTGATCTATGTTTTCTAGAGTGCCCATGTCGGTTACAGTACGTAGGGAGAACAGGAAGACTATAAAAAACTAGGATTTGTGGAGAACATCTTAATAATATAAGAAAGTGATTATATTGATAAGCATAGTGTATCCAGGCACTTTAAGATGAAACATGATAGTGACCCTAGTCTAGTTACCTTTTATGGAAAAGAAGGTTAACAAACATTGGAGGGGGACTAGACTTGATTAATGCAATATCCAAAAGGGAAACATTTTGGATACATGAATTAGATGTATTATTAAAAAAAATGGGTTAAACATAGATATAGATCTAAACTGCTTCCTTACTAATTTTTGATATAAAGTTGAGAGAGGT